ATCTTGATTATTTTAATTTTGAAGTAACTTCAGATTTACAGATAAATTTTTAAAACACGTAAAACTCATGTCTAGAGCTGGGTAAGGTGGTGCATGCCTGCAATCCCAGCACTCAAGAGGCTGAGGCAGGAGGATTGGCATGAGTTGGAGGCCAACCTGGGCTACATAGTGAGTTCAAGCCCAGCCTGAACTACATAGTGAGACCCTGTCTCAGAAAATCCCCAAAAAACAAAACAAAACAAACGAAATTGATGTCTCCCATTCCCCCAGCTTCACCTAGTGCTAGAATTCACAATTCATTTGTGTTCAGGAACACTGTGAAGCTAACACAGCACCACTCTAGGTTTTATTTGGATTTCGCCAGCTTTTATAATGATTCTTGCTGTCCCATAATCCAAACCTGGATATCATGTAGCATTTAGTCTTTATGGGCTTTGAAATCAAGAGCTTACTATTCTATTTTTGAGGTGTATCGAGACACTTCATAAGGAACTCATCTTTCAGTGACAGCCTATTAGCCACCCTTTAGAGACACACAGGAAATCTCAAAAACCACCCTGTGTGTTGGTAAATGCAACAAGACAAAATGAGGTGTAAACAATAGAGTTGAGCCCTGTGTTATAGACATAAGAATATCAGGAATCAAAGATATAAGCAAAGTGGTTTCCCCTGTGGAAAAAACTGTGGGCTTCTTTGTTGAGGGTGGCAGGAACATTGCCTGGGACTTGGAACATTGGCCAAGACTGATTCAGCCTTTCATTACATATTTACTGGGGCCTCTTATGCACCATGTCTGTTCTAGGCATTGGAGATACAGCGGTGAATGAGACAAAGTCCCTATGTTCATGAAGCGTATATTTTGACAAAGCATAAATGAATACAAATCCAGTAGTGACATATTCCTGCAGGAAACAGAACATTTGAGGGGTGCTGGCTGAGAAGAGAAGGGTGCAGTGTGTACTAAATACTCAGAACCATGAATCAGGACGATTGCTCTGTAGTTTACAGAGCCTTGGTTTAATTACAGTCAGGTTCTGGAAAACCGAATTCCGGCCCGACATATCCAGCTTCAAATTTACCTCGATGCTGACAGCATTCTTCTGCGTCATGTGGACTGTCACTGATGAAGTCAGAAATTCAGCTCTAAGACAAATGGGTGCTTTAAAATATCTCAGTGGGATTTTCTGAAGCGCAGGAGGGGAAAAGGTACGAGTACACAGAGCACTCTTCCTTCAAACCCTCCTTGCCCAACATGAGCCTCACCAAATTCCACATCCTCTGTCTTTGCTGGCTGTCTATCCTTAGGATGCCGCGTGGCAGGCATTGTTTTCGAGTCAGATTTGCTTTTGGGTTTTGGACTTTCTCCCATAAGCATCACAGGAGCACGTCCAGCAACTGATGAGGTGGGTCAGACCTTTCTTCTCTCCTTTTTCTCTGCCAGGATGAGGAACTGAGTTGCTAAAGCCACAGTGCTCAGAGACCGTACAACCCAGAGCTGTGAACCCTGGTTTCCTGGTACCCAGCCCAGTGCTTCTTCCCCACAGGACAGCTCACCCTCGCTAGGACATTCCAGCTTCATCTTGTTCCACATGGGGCCCATAATTCCACAGCCTGGGTCAACTCAAGTTAGAGAACCTGGGCAGGGCCCAAGGAGGCAAAGCACGTGGGAACCCAGGTGGCTTCCTGATGGTGGCTGTGGTGGAGGACAGCATCCCTGCTTCAGAGCCTGGCATCTGAAGAGAGGCTCTTCGGCACAGAAACTGTGACAGAGAGCAGCGTTATAGGTGACTCAGCGATGGTGGCTGCACCTTTTACAGATGGTGACCCATTAGCAAGTTTCTTCAAGTAGCTCCTGCATATTATTGTCAAGTTTGCATTCCCAGACTCCTTTCCCTCTTAAAATAAACCCAAAAGCTGATCTGCTTATAAAAGGCAGCCAAATTGCACAGAGCCAGCAACAACTCTTCCCCCAGAACAGATTAAGAGGCTGCAGCCATGGAAGAAGTGCTTGCTCCCCGACCGTGAGCAGTTTCTTCCCTTCCAAATTTTTCACTGAAACTGGAGTCTGAACCCAAACTCATAAGCACTTAAAAAAAAAAATGCCTGGGGAGTGATTGGAAGCATTCCTGGGACAACTGAGTCCTACAGTAGAGAAGTTGTTTGGCTTGTTTGTGAGTTTTCAGCCCTGTGATTAATGGAGGGGAGAAGGCACAACAGAGGGAAGAGAGAGCAAAGGAGAAATGCCTCTACCCTGCCTCCCGCAAAGAGAGGAAGAGGAGGTGGAAGGGATATGCTTTTCACTACACCCCCATCGGCCAAACAGAAACATGTTATTTCACTTTCTTCCTCTTTTGCTTTCCTTAAGGTATTTTGGAGGTTCATGGCAAACCAGTCGCAACTTGGCAAGCTCGAATCTAAATACCATTTGTCTCCTCTCCCTAACAGGGATGAACACAGGAGGGATGAACACGAGAACAAGCCAAGCGCACTTTGAGCGTGAGGCCCAGCCCTGAGGAGCGTCTCAGATGATGCAGTCTGAGGGCTCATTTTCCAAATGAGGTGGGAGCCTGGAGAGCTGCAGCCTGGGTCAGGGGTCACACTGCATGTTGTCACGGCCAGGGGATCTAGCCCAGGCCTCCTGACTCAGAGCCCAGGGCTCCCTCTTTAGGGCCTGGGGAATCTTCTGTGTATGTTGTTTTACCATGGCTCTAAAAGGGATGTTAGAAAGAGGCTTTGTCTACCTGAAGGTCCACTGAGATGGGGAGACTGGAGGGGCCATTGTAACTAGGTCATTGTCACGCTCCGTCCTGAGGCCAGCTTGCTCTCTAAGTCAGCCGTCTGTCTGAAGGAGTTTGGGGTCATTAAATCTGCTTGCCAGAAGCAGAAGGGTTGGGTGCAGAGGCACAATACAGGCTGTCCCAGCAGCCTCTGCAACCTCAGTCCCCAGGAGCCTCTGTCTACCCCTCCCCCAGGCTGCAGGGCCCCTCCTTGGTCACAGTAACCAAGCCAAAGCCCTCCAGGACTGGCTTCTGCTGTGATCCTGCAGGACCTGCCCCCACCCCCAAAATGAAAACTCAGCCTGAGCCTGGCCCTGGTCTGCCGATGGAGACGCAGCTATGGCTTGGGGCCCACGTGGCGCGGGGGCAGCTGGCTCTTGGGAACCCACCATGGTAGCTGAGCACGTAGTCTTTGGAGCTAAAGACTTTCTGGATCCAAATCCACCTTTCCAGCTAAGGAAAAAACACTTGATCTCTAGACCACAGTTTATCCACCTAAAAGTGATTTACAGATTTGTTTAGAGCATTAAATGAGATAATCCATACATGTCGAGCATGGGGCCTGCACAGGATAAGCACGCAGTAACTGGAAGCTGTTTTTATGAGAATCCCTCCCTTCTTTTGCTCAGCTCCTTCACCCACTGGCATCTTTTCTTCTGGGACTGCTAGTTGTTGGACTGATGTAGAGTAGAAAAACTAAGTACAGATAGAAAGGAGGCAAGGAAAATCATAATTTTAAAACTGTACTTCTAAGAGAAACTGCAGCTTTGGGACACAAAACTTACTCCAGCTCATTTTAATTTTTTCTCTCTCTCTCCTCCTAAGATGCAGTAAGCCAGGGCACCTGCCTTTTACCCGGCAAAGTGGCCCTCTCATCTTTGAGGAGACCACCTCTTTTCACCTGTAAATTGTGCTTCCTCTTGAACCCCTAAGGAAGCAGCAGTATGAATGAGCGACATATCTCAACTTCAAAAGCATGTAGACGGTTTACATTCTGACAGAGATGGGTGACCCGACAGACAGAGGGAACACACATGCCAGATCACCCACCCTGAAGACACCCCCAAGACCGCATAAGTATTCCCAGCTCCCATATCATAATGTGCCTCTCCTGAGGGTGTGTGTTCTATTGGAAATTTCTGCCTACTAAATCCCTTTGTGCCTCTTACTGACCTATCTGGAAAACTCTTTTTCTACAATGTGAAGTCAGCAAGCCTGTAACTCAACTCCAAGGGCAGGGTGGGTCTAAGTTTCTTATCTCAGTGGGAACCTCCTTGCACCCTGTCAGGTGACAGGACCCTTAGGGTTTTACACTTGACCACTCCCACCTCACAGAGTTGTCTTCTTGCTCCACCAGCTGGGTTTCATCCCCCTGCCCTGTCTCTCCAAGCGTTGGCCTCCACCGTCTCCCCCATTCCTGCAATCCAGGCTTTACTTGGCAGCTGTCAATAACTGGTTGACCATCAGTGGCTACCGGGATAAACAAGGGCTGGGACCCAGCTAGGACAGTCACCCTTCAAAGAGAAGTGTGAGTGTCAGAGAGAGACAGAACCCGTCTCTAATAGCTTTCAGTAAACTATGTTCTAGCCACAGAAGCCTCTTCAAATTCAGACAGAGGAAAGTCTCTCAGTACTCATAATTGAGAAGACACAGTTAATCAGAGCAACAGAAAACTATTTAATTTCAGATCCCTTTGCTTCAATTTCTTTGTCCTCTCTCCCACATTCACTTGCTCTAAATCAATATTTCTCAAACTATCTCTGGTGAGGGCTCAATTGTTTATTCTCCCCAAACAGCTGTGGACCAATACTTTGTTAAAGAGTACAAACGAATCATTACCAAAATGAAAAGGTCATTCTGATGTTATAGCAGTGTTAAAATACTGAAAATTTTCTTAAGTAACTTCAATTTCTGTACCTGTTGTTTTTGCAGTCTGGTAAGCATTTTGCAGACCCATATCGGCCCCTGGATAAAATTGGGAATAGAGCTGCCTCTGGCCTGAGCAGAACCGCAAAAGACTCCCTCTGTCATGAACACCCTCGTCCTAGGCTTCATGCTATAATGTCTGTGCCATGGGAGTGCTGCCCACCCAGAGCATGCAGTGTAAGGATTGGGTCCAGGCAGGATTTGCCCTGGTTACAGGCACTGCAGCTCCCTCAGAGTTAAGCATCCCCCTCGGGCGTGCCGAGATATCCCAGCCCAAGTGCAGCAGCTGCCCCTTACCATTCCATGCCAGCCCTGTTGATCTCCTCCCACCAGCACTCCGTGGGCTCCCCGAGGGTCTGGGGCGTGGGCATGCAGCCATAGTTCCATTGTCTGTCAGATCCTTCCTTCTTGCTGAAGATGCTCCTTACTGCCCTCACCACCTGCCCGTGGGGACACTGGTAGCTGAAGCCCTGTCGGTTCAGATTCACCCAGCCATCATCGCCGTAGTCATGGTATTGCTGGTACGGGTACCCGTAGTCACCATACTGGCCCCAGGCCACAGTGGCCAGGGGCAGAAGCATCCAGAAAAGGGAGAGGTCCATGCTGCCTGACTTTTGGCAAAAAGTGTCACCCTAGGTTTGCTGGGCTGACTTTTATACAGCTGCTGCGGACATGTGGCTTCCAGATGTGGGTGCGAAGGATCCAGATGCAGTGTGTCACTGCTTAAGCAAAACTTTTCCATGCTGAGAATTTGGCCATGAGTATATCCAGCTTGTCTTAAGGTGGAATTCTAGGAATACTCAGGGAACGTGTAAGTCGAAGACATTTCTGGGAGAAAGAATAACTTTATAGCTCTGTGACAAAACTCAGCTGCTTTACTCACTTTAGAAACTGTTTAAAAATTCTGATTGGCAGCAGCTTCGTTCTCATCTGGCAACACTTTATATCCCTGGGGTCCCACCCCTGTATTTGTTCTCCAACCTAGCCTTCTAGGATTGCACAGGTATCTGAAGAGTCATTTCTAAATATACAAAAATACCAGGAAGAAGAGACAGAGTCATTTGTACTCCTGCCCGCCTGGATGTCTGGTTTCTTTCAAGTTCTCGGCCCAACGCCTCGTTTCCTTGGGTGTAAGCATGAGGGTGCCTGTGTGTAGGGCTGAGAATTCCTCAGCTGCATATGGAAGCACTGCAGGCTGTGGAGAGATTAGGGCTGTTACCTTCATACCTACGCATCTGCCTGTGCTGCCCAACTGGAGCCACCCACATCTAGAAATTGCTCTGCTCTTGGGTGTAAGTTGGGTTAAATCTGAACAAGCCCGCCTTTTATGTATCAGTGTTCTTTTTTCCTTCACACTGAGTATTCTTTTGCATTGAGATGCAATTTACACATATAAAAGCCTCCTTTCTAAGTGTTGGGCACACAGGCCTGTTAGCAGCACATAAAGACAGAATAAGCCCACCAACCCATCCTCCCCTACAGTCCAATCTTTCTGCATACCCAGTCCCCGGCAACCAGCCATCTGCTTTCTGTCCCTGTAGTTTCGCCTGTCCCAGAATGTCAAATGTAAGTCCTCGCTTCCTTTTCTGTGTGTCTTGTCTAATCCTCTGTTCAAGTCACCAAGAACCTGGAAAGAATTTCTTTGGGACCCAAAAGCCAGTAACAACATCAAATGCAATCTTGGGCATACTTCTTCCGCCTACCACAGCACTGTGGAGATTCATTTATGTTGTGTGTGTTGGTGGTCCATTGCTTTGAGACCTGAGTATTATGCCACATATGGATGTAGCACAGATTGTGTATATATTGGGATTGTTTCCAGTTTTTCAGAATTGATTATGTATAACTATGTACAAGTAATTATGACTAAAATTATTACAATTCTGTAGAGGTATTTTTCTGAATAGTTATTTTTGGATAAATACCTAGCATTCAGAATGTATTTATTAATGTATTTTATTTTTGCAGTACCAGGAATTGAAGCCAGGTCCTTCTGAGCCTTTTTTTATTCTTTTTTGTCTGTTATTTATTTACTTATTTTTAAGAAACTGGATGGCAACTAAGAGTGATAAAATTTAGTTAGCCACAGGCATAAGTTCAAATGAGATTTTAACTTAGATTGAGCTTGGAAAAATTCATATTACACATTTTAAAAAACTAGTACATGTTTGCAGTGCATACTGATTATATGTATCATGGGAAGTTGGTACAGGTACATAACACATCTTACTTCTTCTTCTGCTTCCTATTTCTCCCATCCCTCCCTGCTTCTTCCATTTCTTGTTCCCTTTCCCATTTACAAAAGCTCTACTTCCTTTTTTCCAATCCCTTTTTTCTATCCCCTTCCCCTTCCTTCCCTCCTTGCTCCCTCCAGCCCTTTTCTAAGTTTTAATTTTGAGATAGGGTCTCTAAGTTCCTAAACTGCCTAGGTTGAGCTCAAATTTGTGGTCCTTCTGCCTCAGGCTCCCAGAGTACTGGGATTACAAGCATTCACCTCATATCCAGCTGAATGAATATATATATATATATATATATATATATATGGCCTCTATTTTCTGCAGACCTCTCTCATCTGACAGGTAGAACTGTCATTGCTTCTGTATTTTGAAGGTCAGCATCTTTATACTTTGGGCCCAATTAGGTGTAGACTCTGGTTACTTAGTGCTGAAAGAAACGAAGTCATGCAGTGTCTAGGGGCTTCAGAGCTTTCCAGGGCCTCTAAGAGAGTTATCGGAGGATTCACAGAGAATGGTTTCCAATAGCAGGCATTAAGAACCTAAGTTTAGGCCGGGGATTTAGCTCAGTGGTTCCACTGCCTGCCCCACAAGTGCAAAGACCTGAGTTTGATCCCCAGTACCAAAAAAAAAAAGAACATGAGTTTAGTGCATTTACAGTTTACCATGTATTTTCTGCAGTTTATTACACTATTTTCCTCTCAACTTTATGCTTTACATTAATGAAGCATTATCAGATTCATTTTTCACGGATGAGGAAACTATGGTCAGAGGATGTTTTGGCCAAAATTCCTAGAGCTGGGAGGATTATGACTCCACACACTCTAAATCCTATTCTGTAATTCTTTTCCATCATTTCATCAAAACCGCAATTACAAATTATAAATCAACACTTACAAACTGACAAACTGTTTGTAATGTTTTTATGTTATCACACACATAACTGATTTGCACTATGGATTTCTGCTATTATTTGGAAATTATGCCCAATAGGCCCTGGGATGAAGCCTGAGATCAGCAAGTATGGTTTTAGGACTCGCAGTATCAGCCCAGGCTTGAAACTTATTAGAAATGCAGATTCACTGAAGACACTCAGACCTACTGAATCAGATTTTCTAGGAGTTGAGTCTGGTGAAGATTGATTATAACAAGACTTCAGCGGTCTGATGCATGCTAAAGTGAGAAGCTCTGCAGAAGATACCTCAGAACACATTACCCAGATCTCAGAAGTGCCTGCACAGGTAGCAGCATAGCCTATCTGTGTGATCCAACTCATTCACCGTGACTCCAGAGCCCACACATGTAAGCCCCAGGCTCTGTCACTTCCTAGAAGGTGAAGGAAACGGAACTATTTCTCCTTAGAATATTGAAATTTTTGAGCTGAAGAAAGTTAAAATTCAGGGAGATTTTCTGCATCTCCCCCTCCTTCCCACAGACAGGACATAACCCTTCTTTATTGGAGACAGCTTTTATCAGCTCAGAGGCCGGTGTCCGGGGATCTCCAGGCAAGGCTTGCTCCATTAACTTCTTCCCAGGTAGTTACTTTCTGTGGTTTCCCCACATTTAGCTGCTCACTTTCGTCTTGTCTCTGCTCTCAGATTTACTACTCATCTGAAGATATATAAAATCATTTTGCTTTGGCCATTTCTTCAGACTTCACTGTCATGTGGAAGTCCCCAAGTACATGTAAAATTCATACAATTTGTATCCTTTACTCCTGTTGGGCTGTCTTATCTTAATTTGATTTCCAGACCCAGCCAAAATCCCACATGAAGAGTAAGAGAGGAGGTCTTTACTTGCTGGCATAACTAATGAATTGAGATGCCTCAGAGAGACTCAGCCTCTAGCATTTGAAAACATGTATGACTGTTCTTGTTCTCTTTCTCTCCTGCTCTTTCTTCTCCTCTTCCTCCTTTTAAAATCCTTTATTGAGATATACTTCACCTATTCTACAAATCATCAGTTAAGACACCTAATTCAATGGCTTTTAGTATATTCAGAGTTGTATAACCATCACCACAATCAGTTCTAAAGCACTTTAATCGCTCTACAGTAGTACTGCCTATACCCATTGGCAGTCATTCTCCATTTCTTCTTGAACTTTTTGCCCTTGGAAACAACTAACCAACGGTTTCTATGAATTTGTCTACTATGTTCACTTCTGGTAAATGGAAGCATTCACAATGTGATCATTCACAACTGACTTCTTTCACTTAATCTAAAGTTTTCAAGGTTCATCACCGAGTTGTATTTTGTATCTCTACTTCGTTCCTTTTTATTGCCATAGAATAGATATGGATATATCATTTCATTTATCCATTCATGTAAGTGAGACATCTGGGTTATTTCCACCTGTTGGTTGCTATGTACAAGTTTCACATGGATGTTTTCATATCTCTTGGGTATATATCTAAGAGTGAACTTGTTGGGGTAATCATAATGCTGTTTTAACCTTACAAGGAACTGCCAGTTTTCCAAAGTAGTTGGTATATCCTGACCAACAGTGTATGAGGGTTCCTGACTCTCCTAAACCTAATCAGCAGTACTTCTTAGGCATGGGTTCTTCTGGAAGCTGTGGAAACCCACAGCTACTCTGGTGATGCTTTTTGGAAGCCATATCCCCTCTTGTCTGGCAGCTTCCTCAGACATACAAGCTCTTCTTGAGAGATTTTGAATAAAATGCTTTGACCTATTCTCAGTGGAGATTCCCTAAAATGGCCTATAATCCACTCGTCCCTCAAAGTTACTTTTATACTTTCAGAACTGGGTAGATCCTGTTGTACATTCAGAGGGAACAGTGTAGACTGTAGATTTTCTGGTGCACACCTAAATCCACTGAAGCATTCTGGGTGTGACCTGTTGGCTCCACGGTGAAGCACTGTGTGAGATCTTGGCAGGCCAGGCTCATCCTGATGCCTGGTGGCCCCAGATGAACAGATGCTTAGTCTGAAATTCTAGCTGAGAGTTATTTGGGGGTTCCGTTTTTGCACACTCAATTCTCTTCCTTTTTAACTTTTGTGTACAGTTAAAATTTAGCAATAGCTCTAAGGACCAGACTACAGGGTCTTTAAGGATATACTGTCAGGAATGCCATGGTGAGTGTCTACTGAACCATCCATATTTCCCCTCTCAAAAGATTACTTTTCAGTTTCACAGTTTTGTGAATGATCCATTATTTTCCTAAGATCTTTTGTGGAACTCATCGTTATGCCATCTGAAATTAGACTTGAAAGGTACCAGTAAGGTTAAAAATGCTCATAGTGGGCCGGGGATTTAGCTCAGTGACACCTTGCCTGCCTGGCAAGCACAAGGTCCTGAGTTTGATCCCTGGAACCCCCCCCCCTCAAATGCTCATAGTGGAGACAGCAGGAAAACTACTGAGCACTGAAGTTGAGGGAAGAGGAGAGAGAAAAGTGAAAAGGGTTGAAGAAGTAGAATACGGTGTGCTAGATACTCCACCACGTCCTGTATGCT